AATGTGTTATTATCGTTATTTATGGTTCTGAAGAAGGCCAAGTAAGACTCAAAACGTTAACATAATTGTATATTTTTATTGAAGTCGTTAAATTTATTTTCAACATCTTTTTATTTGCTCGAAATTTGGCCGTTTTGATTATTTAGCTGTTTAACATTTTTTTTTAAATTTTTATATAATCTGTTTTTAGCGCTATATATATCGTAATAAAATACAGATCCGCCGGTTTCTAAATTTTGAGCACCAGCGTTGGGTCCGCTGGTTTCGGACTATAGACTAAAAGCTGAATAATGAAATATGGGAAAATTCTAATGATGTAGATATCTTCGCCTTACGTCGACTATTCGTAATGGAGGAGGATTTTGAGGAAGAAGAAATCTGGTGATTTTGAAATAAAATCCTGTCTCATCACCGGTTAATTTTAATAAAAATGTTTCGTTTGTTATCACAATTTTAAGAATACTAGAACACTACAAGCGCGCGCTACGCGCGCGCCATTTGGCTTTTTCATTACAAACAAAAGCGACACGAGTGAAACACGCCGCGATGCAAAATTCGAGACAACCAATCAGCATCGCAGAAAAGGGGCCTCAATTTTTCGATACAAATGAAATTCACTCAGTTAACATGCAATTTTTAAGATTGGAAATATTTTTTATGTGTAATTCCATATATAACTATTTATTATTCATTTTTCCCGCTTCCTTTACTAGTATTAATATTATTTAATAAGTACAATATTTTATTATAATAATTTAAATAATAATAATAATTAAGTTAAATTAAATTTTTTTAAAGTTATTAAAATATTAAAAAAAACTTTTTTTAACATTAAAATTAAGTAGTTATTGTAATAAAATAATTAAAATATTGAAAATTCTTAAAATATTAAAAATTAAATATCGCGTTGGTGAAAAAAAGATATGCGATCGTGAGCGAGAACGCGAATAGAGATGCAAATGATGAAGAAGGCGAACGCGAAGAGGACACCCGAGAGAAATAGACGAGTGTGAGAGAAGACGTGAACGGATGACACACAGGTGTTGTGAGCGCACAACGCACTTGGCAACCGAATTGCCAAGTGTCAGGGAAATTCGACCCTAGCGACTAAAATCGTCAAGACCAAAGGTCCATCGAGGACCGATATCGCTGACGCGAAGGTCAGCGCGGAGCGCTGACCACACAGGTTAATGCTACCGCGGGCGATCCCGAGGTAGCAACGGGAAACCAATATAAGACCGCCGAATCGAGCGATTAGGCAGTCGGTCTGAGAACTCCACGACGTCGCGTTGAAACATTTACGAGCTCTAACGAATCGCGAGACGGGAGCATTAAATAAAGAACACCTCGTCCAAGCCAAGCTCTAGTATATTTAATAAAGTGTTAAAGTGGTGTTTAACAAAGTGTGATCATTAACCGAGCCCGCCAGACGCCCTCATCCCGACCCTTCCGAGCTCGCGAGCGGAGCACGACCCCTTTAGCCGTCTGAACGGCTAACACAGGTAAGAAGGTGAGTAGGAAGGGTAAGCCTGAGAGAATGTGAACATCGGTGTGAGCAAAAGAGAGCGAAATAATGCGAAGATCTGGTATGAATGCAACTGCGAGCGAGAGAGAACGAGAACGCGCGAGTGGGAAGGAGAGAGAAGATGCGGGTGGGAGAGAAAACGCGAGTGAAAGAGAGAGAACATTCGCGAGGGAGAGATAACGCGAACGGGGGATGGGAGCGAGAAAGACCGCGCGCGAGGGAAAAAGAACGCGAGCGGACATGCGCCTTGTGACGTCATGCGGACCCCCCTTCACCGCGGACCGACGCGGCCGTTACACGCGGACCCCTTCTCCCCGCGGTACCCGAAAACGCGAACGCGGTTCCCTCTTTCCCCGCGGCGCCCAAAAACGCTGATCGTACTCTCCCCTCTCCCGCGGACCCCTCTGCGCGGATCGTACGCGGTACCCCCCCCGCCCCCCCCCCCCGCGGACCCCTATACACGGATCGTACGCGGTACCCTTCCTCACTCCCCCATCGCAAATTCCCCCTGCCCCTCTCCCCCCTCAGAGCATCCGGCCTAGAATCCTCATATTTACCCTACTATATTATGAATGCCGTTCTGCGCGGACTAGACTGTCTATAATTTCGGAGTGCATATGGTGTCCCGCTATCGCGATTTATATATGATTTTTGGTAAAAATTTACAATAACTTACACAGCTTGGATTACTTTGACCTTGACATATGTTGTCAAGGACATAATACTGAGTAACTTTTCCTTATAACTTAGTCGGCGGTCGCTGCTTATTAAAAAGTTATTAACAAAAAAAAGTTTGGCGACCTCACCGATTTCAATGACCTTGATGTATGTTGTCAAGGTCATGACCCCGAGTGACCTTTAAAAGGTTTTAGCCGTTGCTCGTTATTCGTTGGAAAGTTATTAACAAAAAAAGTTTGGAAAATACGTAGATTAAATGACGCGCTTTACAAGTATTTAACTGTTTAAAGCGCGTCACTAATTTACATAGGTTAGATGACGCGCTTTAACAGTATTTAATTGTTTAAAGCGCGTCAACTAACCCATGCGTAAACTATTTCGGGGCTACCGCACCTCCCCCGATAGCAGGGAGGGTGTGGGTGAACCTCGGTTCGCGTGAAAAGTATATGCGTGAACTA